ATTCAAAAACTTTGACCTTGGTAAACTTATAAAGACAAATATCGAAGAAGATATGAAAAAGGTTTTGAATCATTTTATACATATATCTCTAAGCTATAAAAAAATGTATTTTGTACATTTAAGGTAAAACTTATTATAAATTGGGGTAATAATATTTAGTGTTTACTGTTTACTGTTTTAATGGTCATAGATTATTGACGTAAATCGGATATAGAACGTGATAATTAGTATACCATTATACCAATCAAATAATTTAGTGCCTTAGGATTGTTGGATGGTTATTAAATTTATAATAGCAATTTTCGAATACATATATTTATGTAACATATAGATACACACATGATACTCAATAGTATAATATCATAACATTTTAACATTAAAATAAAGTTAAAACTGGTATAACATTGTAATAACACTATATAATATATTACGTGGTCACTCAATATCATAAACCTACCTATCTTCATGTAAAAATGTGTTTAAGTAACTTGACTAAAAAAAAATAACATAGTGTTAAACGCATTAAGCACAGTTTTATTTACTATCATGTCATGAACTTACATAGGCTAAAGATATATCATTACGTATTAGTTATTGTACTTATTAGTTATTAACAAGGATATTTAGTGTCATGCACATCATTAAGTACCTAGAAACAACTAGTTTAAATCACTTATCCAAAAATCACACTTTTTGGTTTTTTTATCATTATGTTTGCATGTGTTTAAATTAAATAATTAAATTTAAATTAAAATATTAAATTGTACCGAATGAGATTATTTATGAATGAAAGAAATCTTATGTACATATAAGATTATAAATTATGATACATGAACCCGTCGTGATTGTGGTAATGTGTTTATGTGGCCATAATATTGTGTTATGTGATGATAACTCGTGAGACGACACGTCATGTAAAGAAACTGCAATGAAATTATATAATTCCAGAGAATAAAAACCCATTTTTAACTTTGATAACTGGCAAAGGCGTTAGATCGTGGAGGGGTTTATTTTTAAACGATTTAATTTAATAATTGCTTATGTCAACACATCGTACAAAAATATATACATTGAATAATTAAAATATTGCATTTGTTTAGTCTAGATCTAGATCACCAGCGCTAGAAACGTCTGACAGTAGAGGAGCGTCCACTCAAATGCCACCAGAATGGACACTTCCGTTTGTAGTTGTTGACATTTCCGTGGCTTATTCACTTTACGATCAGTATTTAAAATATTTAACAGCAAGGTAAAAGTTACGATAACACGAATTTATTCAACTCATTGTTTACCATTGTAATTACTTAACTGTGTAAATATAGTCAAACCGCTCTGATGCAGATGAATCTTATTCCTGAGAGCCCACAAGCTGTAACATGTGACCAATCAAGGTTCAATAAGTACCAAGAAACTTTGAAAAACATCATAGAAACGTTGTTAAATAACGTAAATATCATATTAAAAATTTGGGGTAACACAAATTAATACCTACATAGAATAGTTCCTTTTTTTGGTAAAATTAATAGAGTGAAACGGCCTTTTCGTTTTGTTAAAGTGTAGGGACTATTATTTATGATTAACTTTTATTTTAAATTAAAATATATATATTATTGAAATAAGTTATAATAGAAACAATGTTGGACTTTACTTCAGCAGAACACCTGCCATGGTAAATTATTTATAGAGTATACTCTCGTACCTTATTCAAATGACATTTCCATAATTTAACTTATATGTTGTTACACCTGTGTGGTATACAATATTTTTTAACACTGCGTTTCCTTCATAATAAATTATTAATTTAAATATTATTTATTACGTTATTTTCCGAATAAATAGTCGAATAGTGATAATGATGAAAATAGTGTCGAAAGATGCGTGCATGAACTTAAAATTTCTGGAACTTACGAGTCAATGCAATCGTCGTTGTTGGGCGAAATCCTGTTGTATATTCGTGAAAATTATGGAAGTCCGTTGATCGGTGAAACGATTCAGGTAAATATTCAATAGTTAGAAGTTCGTTCACCGTAAGTCATTGATGAATTTTCATCGAATGAAAATCTAAAATCACCCAAAATGCTCAAAATGCACAAATACAACACAGTACTATTTTTTGTAAAATGATCTTGTTTTACTTTTTTTTTTATAAAATTGAATTTACCGGGTTAGTGGTGGTTGCATACAGTAAGTATACACAGTATATATTATTTACGTCCATCTTCAGCAGTCACGATAAGTTGGCGTTTGAGAATAAGATTATAAATACGCACAACACAATGGTATACTGCAGTTACTGTCATTATATATCTTTGTCTTAAGAGTTTCGTAAATCGTATTTTCGTGGATTTGGTGGACAAAATGAAGAAAGCAGTGGAATCGTTCGAGTTTCCGCAATCCGAAGGTGTTGATGACTTACAATTTGATCGTGTGATAGTTTACGCCAGAGAAGCGGCCGAGATGGAACAGGCGAAACGTGCCAAAATATTTTACTTTGACGTAAGAGCATCTCAGATGAAAAAAATTAGGATAACGACGCGTTTTAACGTCTGTCCATTTCAGTTAAACTCTACAGCTGATGCAAGGTGTAACCCGAACTACTGGTTATTATACGCTAGTTTATGCTCAAGGCGACTAGATTTCGATACGGCTTTGGAGTATGTCAAAGAAGTGTTACTAGTCGACAGTGGCAACCGAATCGGGCGAGTTTAACAGGGCTATAAACTAGTATAGTTACTGTCACCGTAAAAAAAAAACACTCGTTCATAATATACAAAAACTTAGAAGAAAAAAAACGAAATCGACTGACGAAAATCTAGCACATAATTTTTATAATCGTCACTTTCAAAAAAAAACTAAAAAATACGTTGATATTTATTCCGTTCGTATTTCGTATCGCACTAATGAAAAATATTCGAATTTCTTCGTCATGTGTATGATATAAGACAACCGACTTTCTTCGTAACAAATTTATTTGGTATAGGTACAGATTTATAATTTTTTTTTTCATTCGATCGCACTGTACCTACTTCGTATACGCGCGTAAATAAGTCAATAATTCCGGGATGCAAATTCACTGAAATGAATATAAGCTCTGGTTTCGTTAATTCCAATGCCTTATTATTATTTACTCTGCTATAACTTTCAAATCGCATTGCAATTCATTCATGCGATTGCCCTAAAAATGTCAATACTTATTAAACGGTCGATACTATCATTGATATGTACATAAAAGTCGACAATTTTACGGTGTTAAATATTGTTATATATAGTGCCGTTATAATAATGATAATATATTATGCCATTTTATATCGTTATGATATTTTCATTTAAATTCCAACTGTTGATACAATTACCAATTGAGATAATTTTTTAACTTCTACCTACTTCCGTCACGCGTGTTGACGACTCGTCGAAAAATGTACCGACATTCGTGATTTTATTATGTTTAATCAAATAAACTACAGTTAATCACAATACAAAACAAAATATTATAAGGGTTGAATTAATTAACAATTATTAACAGGTTATTTTTGTATGCCGCAATACAGTTGACCATTCACGAGGACAATAACAATGGCGAAATCGTGTTGAAATCTTTGATAATGAGTCACGGAGACTTCAGCGAAGTGTACGCCTTGCTCGGTGTTCACTATTCAATACTGAACTTGTTTGAATCTAGCTACATCATGCTGCAAAGGGGTAATTATAGTATAGTTAATGTATTCTATAATATGTGAATTGCAGTGTGTGATGAATTAGAAAGAGAAGTAAGATTTATTGTTTATATTCATACGAATAAAATGTAGTGAAGCAGTTATTATATAGGTATATTCATTTAGAAAATATTATAAAATTATCACATTTTTCCTTTTAATATACAATTTAAAATTACAAGAAGATTTAATGTGTTTGAAAATTTATTGTAACGACCATCTTGAAGGTAAGGTTTTGTTTTATACTTTGATATTATGTTCTTAGGACAATAAAAAATTTAAAAAATTACTATTTACAGGTTTATTGTAATCATCATGAAATGTCAGTCATGAATTGTAAATTGTTACCTACTTATAATATAATAGCATATATTTAAAAATGATTTATAATTTATCTGTAAAAAGACTGAACAATATCAATAGGTGTCTATTTTTAAAATACAATTGCAAAGTGATTAATGTTTATGATTGATATTTGATATAATGATATTGGTTTTTAATAAATAGTGGAAGAATAAACCAATAATATACTCAAATTATTTAATTAAAATATTAATATCTTTAACTACTTAAAAATTATAAGTACTTTCAGAAACAAAACCCAACCTTCGAAAAAAATGAAAAACCACCAGCGGATATTTAAAAAATGTAGACAAACCATGTCCCCACCCCCACGGAATAACGTTATAAAATCGTTAACGTCTTTTACATCTTCATTTAAAATCATTTGTGTATCTATACAAAAAGTGATTGAAAAAATATATAGTATTTACTATTTAAATTAATGGTACGAAATCTTAATAAACATGTTAACATCATGCATAATACATATAAAAATATTATATAATATATATATAGCAACTAATAAATGAATAATAATATACTATCTATCAAATTCTAATTACGTTTACATTAATTGAGTCTAAAAAAATATTTAGGTGATCTCTAGTTTATTAATTATTACTTTCTTTAAGCATGTTATAATAGTTAAGACTAAATTGCTCGAAAATGGTCATTTTTTCAAACACCGTCATTATTTATCTATATATTACTTGCTATTATAGCTGAAAGGTGTGTTGAAGTAGACACATTTGAAAATGATGTTCTCATGAGCAAAAATCCAATGAGTTGGACACCAATAAGTCATGAAAACGATCCTTTGATGAAATGCGTAATTTTACTATTAAAGTTCGAATTAGTAAAAGTCAGTAAAATAGTATATCAATGAATATAATGGAATTTACATAAAATTATTCTAAATCATTATATTTTTAAGTTGGCGAAACATTGTTTAAAATTAGTGAAAAATCAAAGTGAACAGTACCATTATTACATGGCAGTATGTGAGTACAAAAAAGGAAACTATTTAGCAAGTTTAGAACATTTAAAAAGTGATAAATTGATAGAAAAATATGTAAGTAGTAAGAAAGTATATTGTAATATTTACTATATTTTTCATAGTTTCATATTATATCAAAGTACTATATTATTTTATATAAATTATAATTAGGAAACTTACCTACTATACAAATGCACCTGCTGCCTATTGAATAAATGTTAAGCAATAAAAAATTATCAATAATGATTTGCTATTAGGTACGCCTTACTTTTTATCCTTAAAAATGTGTTCAAATAAGTGTATATAGAACAATTCAGAGCTGCACATTTATATAGTTATATTTCTAAAGTTTAGAAAACTTTCCTTTTAGATAAAAAATTATGTAAAACAAACATTTTGAGCACTATAATTTTATACCACTATAAAAATATATCTATTTAAACATGTCGCATTGTCTTATAATATAAACCTACATTCTATACTAAACCAAAGTATGTGTAACATCAAAATTACTACAAATAAATACACTATAATAAATCATAAACGATAAAACATAGGTGTATAATTAATTTTAATAAATCAAATCACGCTTGCATATAAAGCAGTCGTTTGGTTTTAATATATATATTTTTTAATATTGTACTTCTTGGAATCTGTTTTTTTTTTGCAGAAGAAAGTTACTGACGTATTAAAATTTCTTAACGATATAGAGTTAAACGAACAGCTCGATATTTTTGAAAATGACTTGCTTCACATAATATATTCGGAGACCCCTTGTGAAGAATTACATTTGATCTATTTAAAAGGAGCTATGCATTGCTATAAAAATAAATTTTACATCAAAGGAGTGGAAATTTGTCAAATCGCTTGCACTGTATTACGCACACCAATGATATTGACATTGTTAGCCAAATGTTTAATACAGGTGATTTTTTTAAAATTAAATTTAGTACATAAGAATATTTTTAATTTCACAAAAGGACACTTATGATCTCGCACTGGTTTTATTATACCAAAAAACTCACGGAAAAGTGTCGACAAATAAATGTAAATAAAAACCTGTAAATCCGTATAAAAATTATAAGGAAGGTAATTAGATGCATTTACATACCTTAAATTACAAATTTAACATTCAATACATATTATTCTCACTCAGCAATTCAGCATAATTTCTGATGAAACCGTGTAATATAATATAATATATAAGTATTCTGCAGTAGATACATATACAGTAAAAAAATGTATAATGAATAATTTTTTGAGTCTGCCCGCAGACGTTTCTTGATATCTAGTCTGACTAAACTACATTTTTTATCATCACATCTTTGTAAGCTAAATATCAATAAATTATAATAACAAATAACAATAGGTTATTAGTTATTAGGTCATCTAATGTTTCAAATTTCAATTTATAATCTATGCGAATGAACAATAGACTATTACGATAACGAAATGTAATATTTAATTACTCGTTACTTCCTGTAAGAGTTTTAATTAATAAAATAATGTAGAAAATATAGTTATTTAGTTTTATATTGGCAGTAAAGCGCATATGGAATATACATAAAATATATATAAGCCATTAGGCAATTATTGTATAATATTATTTAAGTAGGTATCTACAATATACGTTAAACCTTAACTCAAGTATCATCCAATAATATTTAACTACCTTTATGTACACAAAACGTTCATATTATATTGTTATAACTTATAATATCAGAAAATGCATTTTAAACGTTCGCGTGTTGCCATTTTACCGCTGATACTTGTTTCATCCTAAAATTGCCACAGGTCATTTGAGTTTAGTCGTTTGTACTACCTAACTCTCATTCTTATCTAACAATTATTTTTTATTCCTTGTCGTAATTTATGTTCGTTATGTGTCAATTTTCACTTTTAAATACAATATAATTCACATATATATATTCGCTGAACATCGCCTCTGTCTAAAAGTTTTAAATGTTTTACTTAACCAATAGATACTTGTACCCATCATCTATAAAAAAAACTTTTTCCTGTTGTTACTAAGATGATAGGAAACGTTAAGGGTCTAGGGAGGAAGTCGATACAGACATACGCAGTTAAGGCGGACTTATTCATAAGAAATAACATACTTGAGTATACTAAGTGCTTGATAAAGTCAAAAACGAACAAAATTATTAAATTATTAACCACAGCCATAAATAGTTCGAAGTATACCTTTCAAAATTAATTACCTATTAATTATTGTATCTTATAATATTATGAATTATTATAGCAATAGTTAATATATAAGTATAGCTTATTTTCAGCTAAAATATTTATTTGAGTTATATTTTAAATATAATTTAAATAATGTGTAATCGGTAGTACAATTTAATATAATAAATTCAAATTTATCAATGGAAAAACGATGACTTTTCTTTCTTTTTAGGTGTTTCTGAAAAGAAATGTTTTAAAATAAGTAGTTACTAACTATTACTTCTTTAACTTCCGTTTTCCATAGTTAGTTGTAACGACGACTGAAATGTTAAAACTAAACGCATAGGTGCTAAACAAAATATACCCGTAGTATATACACCATAAATATAAACAACAAACGTACCTACTAAAAATTAAATTCCATAAATAATATAGACTAATTCAAACATTATATTATTATCACCCTCATTTGGGCTCTAGGACTTACTTATCCAGACAAAACAAGTATAGGTACTTACCCGAATAGCGTGCTTACGTGACCAGATGACCAACGATTTTATATTTTTATCAAAACAAACTCTAGACCGTACCGTAACGTCCGACTCCCTGCTAAACAATATAGTATATATAGTGTAGGTAGGTGGAGGAGCTTTATGAAATGCAAATGTATAAGTACCTACAGTGGCGGCGGGATATAATTCTCTTCGAAGCAATTGCTTCATAGCTTCAACATGGTAAATTATCATTTTGATGTAATAAAGGGGGTGGTTGGTGGTAAAAATATTAGAAATATACAATTTGCTTCTAAGTCTCAAAAAGTTCGCGCCACCACCGGGCATCTAAACGATTTAAACAGAGACTATATAATAAATATAAATAATTATTGTTGTATAACTCACTGTTTTCGAAAAATTGAGTAGTTTCGATCCAAATACCATCGACGTGTAAAGTTCTAGAAAAATATCTAAAAGCAGTGCTTTGCCAATACAGGAATACATTTTTCTGGTGCATGAACGTCCTCGTTGCGTGTAACGCGATCCAACCTTTTGGCAAATAATTTAATGACTCGTATACTGCACCGACACTAGTATATAGTGACTTTTCGTCGAAATGTACGCTAGGAGTCATAATATATATATATAATAACAATATAGTCTGTGTATAATATCTATATTTTTTGTATACATATGATATGGTGTACACATAGTGTTATGATTATGTATGTTTTTTCACTTTGGCACGTTTCATCATCATAATACCTGTATAATATATCGCATAACGGCTAATGCACTCCTACAAAACCGTCGGCACGGTCGGCGCATACAATATATTACGTCTACCTACTGCAGTAGGTACGTAGGTATTAATTTCACGTTACATTACGACGATGTGAGTATAGTTTCCGGATTTTCTGGAAAAACGATAAGCTGTGGCGGCGCAGTAAGTTTCGTCGAAACAAGTTTTCGCGTTCACCCGATACATGCCACGGAACGCGTCTAAATGTCCCCTCGTCGGAAGACGTGCAGGCGTATATATCGATATAATGTATATATATATATATATATGTCTGGTATATATATGTACACGCGGGAGAGTGTGTGCGTTTTTTTGTTTGCGGATATACACTTAGTCGAGTTGTATGTATATATATATATGGTTACGCTGCTGTCGTACGGAAGATATCATCGATTGCGTTTCCTATGTACGGACGTAATTCAAGTATATAATAATATATTATTATACATATGTATAGTGCGCCGCCTTATATGTGTGTCGTGTGTGTCTCTCTAATCTTCGGCCATCGATAAAAGGTCAACTGCATAACGCGCACCCCACATTGTTATTTGTTATTTTTATGTATCATAGTATATACGCGCTTCCGTCGATTCCAAAATACGAGTCTAATTCGTTTTCCATCCCCGCGTCATTGATAAAAATCAACGACCGTGGACAAAAACACTTTATATATATATATACTGACAGGCGACAGCACAACAGCGTTATATCCATATATATATATATATATATTTACGTATAAAATGTATTCAACCACGGACGGTATAGACTCAATGTATAATATATATATATAGACCATGTATAGAGGGTGCCTTACTGTGATATATTTATAAATTATGATGCCGGCTGCCAGACTTGTAGTCGAACGAAACTTTTCGACGGCCGATAAATTTGAACGCAACGCCATTAAATACAATTTTCATTTTTTTCCCGCACATATAGCTGGGGACTACAAAAAATGTTGGTTTTATTCATATTGTCGAATTGCAGCGAGGTACACGATATTATATCGCGCACTGTGCACACTGCACATATATGGCTATTGTGGACAGTGTGTATGGAAATGAACTCAATTCAAATCATCAACCAATACAAACCATCATGCTGTGGGATCACATTGGCTTCAGATATCGTCATAGGGTAACCACCGCTCCCAGGGATATAGTTATTCCGTCACAAAAAAATTGTTATTCAGTGATAAATTTGAAAAAAATTATATTTTAATTGTTTTTTTTTTTTTTGGTCACATATTTACTTTTTTGAATGACATTAATTACACACCATCACACCATACATTTTTAATTTTATACTCCAAAGATCACAATTTTTCTATTAGGTAGCCAAGTAAGTAAATGGAAATCGAATTTTAAACTAACGTCTATAATAGTCATAGTTAGAAATAGTTATAGAAATGAATAATAATAGTATTTAAAGTTTAAATTAATGGTGTGTAATTGTGTAAACAATGTAGGTAATGAGAGAAATGTAGATTAACATTTATTCTGATTTACCTATACATAATGTTAATATACCTATACAGCTTATATAGGTACCTACCCGCCCACCCCTCTAATTCTATGATTTAACTACTTAGTTAACTAATTGTTCAACGTTTGATTTTCATACCCAGGATTATAGCCCCTGCTTCGGAATATAAAATACAAATGTATACTGGGGCCATATTTTTTTTTTTTTTATAATACAAAATAGTAAAATAAATATTATTTTAATTTTAAATGTTGTGTTAAATATTATGTAAGAAAAATATTTTCAAAAACATTATTGCTTTTCAAGATAATGCGTGTTAACGTTTAAAATAATTACCCTTTATTATAGTTATAATATTAACTCGTTCAGCCTTGCTGCAATTTATCTACACATCCCGATGACACATGATATTGTAGTCACACAGATGATATTATAATACAATATAGGTAATATAATAATGTACAAAAATAAGACAATGTAATTCGTCCTTCAAATTATTTCAATATAGTTCTGTTTTGTATTAAACACGGGCGGCAGTGCACTTGTGCGGTATATAAACCTACCTTCCATAATAATGTATTAATGTATACCACCAAACGAATCATTTGATAATGATTAAAAACACGTTAGATTGTCGTCGTTGAGCTGATTTACTGCATAGGTATAAATACATTTAATATGCAGGTACCTATAGTACCTCCATAGTATAACCCTGCAGCCTCTACCTAGTAAAATACCTACACCAGTGCCATAGATGCATAATACACGCGTGACCGGGGGCGATCGCATATATAATTTTATAATTTGTTTATTATAATTATTCGCGTTCAACAATATGATATATATACGCCCGCGACAGTCGTACCTTTAAGTATATACATATTATGTAAGGTGCTATATATTATATTTAATATTCCTATATAGGTATTGTATATCATACCTACAACATTGTTTTTTCACTATACAACCATATTATTATATTTGTGTATATTTTATTATTATTTATTATTATACCTAATATTTAGATTGGTGAATTGGAAACCGCCGAGAGCGCACTGGACGAAGCAAACGTCATGGACATAAAGAACGAGGAAGTGTGGGCATACCTGACGGTGGTAAACATCAAAATGGGAAACGCTGACGAAGCGAAAATGTGTTACATGCGAGCACTTGAGGTGATTATGATATTGATATAAGTGTGTGTATTTTAACGTTATAGTTTAAAGACCAGGACTTTAATAGTGTATTGTCGCAATTATTATGATTATTGTCATATTTCAAAACACAATTGTGAACAAATTTAGGTACCTATATTTGTAAGTATGTAGTGCATTAGTGTGTAGGCTACCTACATGTTCTAATTGTTGTCATGATTAATAATTATAGATTGTATTATAATATATGTATACATTCGTCCATATTTTAGTCATTAAATATATAAAGATATAATAATAACAATAATATAATTTTCGATACCCAATGGGGCGGGGGGATACATATAGAGTGTGAGAACTGAGAGTGCGGTGCACCCTTGGACAATAAAATTAAAATGTTGCCACAGTAAAACAATGAAATAATTTATATAATAATAATTACATTTTAAAACAATTGAAAACAATACTAGAACAATATATTGCAGTAACTTAGCATCGCCTAGTTTGATTTTTGGTTTTTCCGCATTTATTTATGAAACATGCCAACGTGATCATACGTGAGGTCGTGAGATAACTATAAAATCAATTTTAGGCATATCGCAACATTTTATACAGCTTACTTTCAATGTCAAAAAATAACCACAACGAAGAATATCCATACTTTTTTATCTTGAACTTTGGTAATAGATCAAACAGTGGAACGACTAGGGCTATAATGTTGGGGTGTAGGGCTGTGGCCCCACCTTATATTACACGAACAGTAACCCGTGGGGGGCTTGCCCCCACACCCTCCATATTTTTTTAATTAGAAATATAAGAAATTACAAAAAAAACAACAGATATTTATTTACTTAAGTTTCTTTGTTCACAACAATAACATATACTAACTATAGGAAGTCACTATATTATAGTGTATATTATGGTTCAGTCTTTAGTGTACATAGCCACATAGGTACTGTGAAGTTATGTAAAATAATCATACCAATAAACCGACATAAATCGTTTCCTTAAAAACAAATATAGGTATACAGATAATGACATATTATACTATACTTATCATACATAGGTAATATAAAATAATTATAAGCTTTAAATAAATAAATAAAAATTACAGTTAAATTTTAAAAGGTTTATTAATATTTTAGGAAACAATTGAACAATTTTTGGGAAATTAAACCTTCCCAGTTCCAATTTTAAGCTTAAGAGAATATGAGATAAACTCATTGTAATAATATTAAATTTAATATATCAATATTGAACAAAACGAAACTGTATTGCAATGCATATAATTCGAGCTAAGGCAGTAAGCCTAAAATGTATAAAATGTCGAAGATACTTTAGTCTTATACTGCATATATAGGTACCTAATATCCAATTAAAAGGATATCATTTGTGGTATAGTATCCATTATTAAAATAAAATTAAGCAGATTTACACGGATTTTTCGGAAAAAAACAAAAAGGTAAAAGCTGGTATTTTTACGCAAAACAACTTTTTGGTGAAATGAAAAACGAACAACAGTTGATAGTTTGATACCTTAATTTCCTCCAAATATTTAAAAGACCATTTTCTAAGTTGAGAGTAAATACATAGTATTTTTTTATGAACGTCTAAAGAAAGAATTTTAACCAAATTCGATAAAATCACAAAATCACGACAATATACAAATTATTTTATAAAAATTCATAAAAATGTTATTTGTACATTTCTTACATCTAAGATTCGAACATTCAATAGAAGGTTCCTCGTGCATTTTTTTACTATTAACATAAACAAAGTTTACCGGAAAGTCGCATTAACATTTATAAGCTATTGATAATAATAAATTGATATTGGCGATAATATATTATATTCATCCGTAAATTAACAATTTCTCATCGAACGATTTTCTCATTTTGTAGTAACTATAAAAACTAACAACCATATATAGATATCTAAGTATAAATTATATATGTACATAATACTATATATATGTATATATAGATACCTACTAAAATTCCCACCGAATGTTTATTTTATCATTTTCCATACATATGATAACATTTTCGAAATATTTTGACTCTTTTTGAGCGATTTATAAACATTTTCAATGTGTTTTCAATAAACATCAATAGAAACTATTTTCGCTGGGTCAAAAAGCTTGAAAATTTTACAAGGTTCTTTATAAGTTGTTATAATATCAGTTCAAAAATATTAAAGACATAATTGGTTTTTATAAGCACTTTGAATTTCAAATTTTAACAACATCACGAAAATTTACAAATTATTTTAGTAAAAATATATAAGATATTCAATTTTTATGTAAAAAAATTGCTAAGGATTGAAAATTTAAAACAAGGTTCCTCATAAGTAGTTCATATAGTAACCACATGAATACATGATCTAAAAATATATTCTATACTAACACTGTTCGTCGTTTTTTTTTAGATATTTTAATTTTAAATTTGGACGAAATGAAATTAGATACCTATTTAAGCGACGAATAACAATTTCAGTAATTTTGTTGTAATTTAAAACTATTACCATTACGCGAGTACTTGAAACTTTTAAAGTATCCCTATATTATTATATTTTATAAATTATAGAAACACATAACGACATTGTGAATGCTATGTTGTCGAAAAAAATTATTCGAACATGTATTACTAATAGAAAATAATTTAATTTAATAGCAATAATATCATAAAATAGTCTTCCTTACTAAATGTATTACTAAATAAAGGCTAACCGAACGTCTTCGCTTAGAAACGTTTTTCATAGATAGAAAAATATACAATCATTCTAAAATATTAAATTAAAATTTAATACATCCATTTAAGTGATCAACACAATGCATCTACAGCAAAGATGTCCACTAGACAGCCATTTTTAAAATTAATGTTAATGAATAAACATTGAATATCAAAGAAATAATTCAATTAAAAAAAATTTTAATTCCTGCCTATTAATGATTGAAATTAGGCGGTATACTGCAATTTTGTGTAATTAAAAATTCGTATAAATAAGTAAAACTAAACAATAAATATAAAATCATCTAAAAAACATATTTGTAACATTATCAAGTCTGAAATAACCTATAGAACATCTTATAAACGACAAATTGTAACTATTTTAGATAATAGATATTGAGAGAAACAATGAATGTATTGAATTTGTTTTTTTTTTTTGTGTGTGTGTACTCGTAGGTACACCTAAATGATTAATAATTTGTAGAAGACTGCTTCTGTTTTCATCTTTTATATCTTTTCTTAGTTGGCCATTGAGGTAGGGAAGTAAATCTAGTTGGTATTTTTGATAGTAAAAAATTAAAAATTCCCAGAACTTTTCATAATAATTAGGATAAATAAAAATTGTTTGACAAAATCGATTTTGTTATACCCAGTTGCGGATTTAAGGAGGGGCCCAGAAGGGCCTGGACCTCCCCCCCCCCATGGCCCATAAGACAAAAATTTAAAAATACCATTATACTAATATGAGTGTTTTTTATAAAAATATGTACTAATGAAAAAAATAGTCCCCCTCCAACAAAAAAAACAAAATCCCCGATCCACCACTGGTTATACCTAACTGAAAAATGAATAGCCGTACAATACTTGACATTTTCCACAAATGTTTATTATTTTTTTCTTACAGGTGCATCATATTATAATTTTTAATAAATGTTAACTTTCTTATGTATAAAGTACCTTAAGATACTTTCAGAATTCTTCTATATCGATAAAAAAAATTTCACCTTGGCAAAAGCTTGAATATTGAATACAAGGTCCTTCACAAGCAGATTATACTGCAACTGAAAAATCTAAGAAACACATTAACATAATCTTCTTATAGAAATTGTATGACCAAATTTGGTCAATATTAAATATTTTTGAGGGGAAATGAAACTTCAAATATCTTATGATATTGTATGTACACAATGACATTTTCCAAACATTAAGATTCATCTTAAGCTGTTATCTATTTGGCTATTTATACCATAAACATAATTATGCAGTTCTTCAATAAATCGGTATTGCCTCAAAAGTTTTATAAACAATAATAAATAATATAATTATATTGTTTATAATATTACCTATAGCAACTAAATATTAATAATCAAAAAAATGCAATACTTTTGGCTAAATTAAATCAACCTTCAATAATATTTACTAATAGTAAAATTAATTACTTTAATAATAATACCAAAAAATGTATCATGTTTTTGCTCAGAATCATTTTTTATATGCAATAATTTTTCATTGAATTCTTTTTTTCTTTTTTCATTTGAAACTTAACACATACATTACACATTATGGCTTACTCAATGACAAGATACACTCAACACCTGCTGTACGTAAGAACAGTTACCACTTTCTTCCGTCTTTGTATTGCAAACATTAATTTAATGTTCTTAATAGGATAATAGACTCAAAATAAGAGTTAAGTGGTATATTTAAATTTAATGGTATACACTGTTCAATATTCAAAGGTTATGCATACATTTTTATAGCAAAATATCTAACCATAAGCGCAACTAGTAACGTTTTTCAAGGGAGGGTCTAGAATTGTATCAGCAGCACAAACCCAGATAGTTAATATTTTAAACTTAAGTGACAAAACTGGAGGGCTGAGCTCCTCCTAATTGCGCCTATGAAACTACCAAAATAATAATATAGATAAACATTTTTAAAAAATAGCAATTTATTTGTTTACATTCTATTAGCTTTTATTGAATTAAGATTTGAATCATTTTAAACATTTGTTATAAGAAATGGCTAAACAAACAACTTATTAAGACAAGTAAAAAAATCAAATATAAAAAAAATTAATGGAAAGGGCATAACATAAATCATATGTATTTTTGAGTGATTTTATAATGAATTTATTGAATTTTTTTTTACAGTGTGGACTACAAACAGAAATGAAAAATGAAATAAATACATTACTTGGAAAGGATTTAGGTACACTTATATAATTAAAAAACAAATTAACTTATATTTTATTTTATTTATAATAAATTATTTACTTTATTGCTGGCAATTTGGGATTTATTTGAATTCTTTATTATTCTACTATTAATATGGTCATCAAATTCAGAATGGTGTATTTATTTCAGTCAATAGAGTAAGTAATGTCACTATTTCTATTTTTATATGAATATATAATAATTTTTTCTAAAAATTTCAAAATTGCATAACATTTTTGTCTCTTTTTTTCAAGCATTTATAGTATTATATTTGAATGCCACTTATAGCATTAAAGTTAAAGTATTAAATGATATATTAAAAATCTAATACTTAAATTAAGTATAATATATTTTGTTATTGTTTATACTTTTTGGTTTGCTAACTTCCAACAAATGCATAAATGGCATATGAATGTTGTAAATGTGTTTACGTCTACCAGATATTAACAATCATACAATATATTATATCAAATAACAAACGGGAATGAAAAAAAGGTCCAAAATGAGTACGACTACATCAATATTTAATGTTTTATAAATTAACCGACTAAAAATCCAACTCCCATTCTTAATTGATGTTTGGCAGGAGAAAACATAGTACTCAATGCAAATGTAAATGGCATTGGGTGTAAACGTTTTTCGAGTGTAGTGCTTACATTCCACTTTCTATCTATGCTACCTAAAACCAAAAAAAAAAAAAACAATTAATACAATTTTGCATATTCAGTTGGTTAATTACTAATGTATAACGTTATACTGTTTAAAATACAAATAAAATTATTTTTAAGGTACCAAAATAACAAATAACAATTGTCTAATAAGTTCAATAATAATAATAATAAAAGTATTAACAAACTACTTCACCTATCTATGTTTTCATTCGATATATTATTTATTTTTATTAAAATAATAAACATAATTTTCACTTATAAAATTGAATGATATTTCAAAATATTTAAATTTTCTTTATGCAAATTAAATTATTTTTTCATTATTAAACTAAGTGTTGTTTAGCTTCTTAAATAAGTAGAAATCAACTAAATATTCTGTCCAAATAATATTAAGCTTGACATTTGGTAAAACATTTAAAGATAATATCTTAGTCTGTAGGCCATAGGTCTACAATAGGTAAACTAAATATACATATTTTTATCATGGGGATGTCATCAATAAGAACATAGTCTTATAAACACTATATCCAACACAGAAAATTAGATTTATTATTTTTGTATATACCTTTAATGTTGATATCTGATTTAGGAATTTGTGCTTGATATGCAAATGTAGCATTGATATCTCGTTGTAAAAGACTACCTTCAAGATCTACACCAAACTGGAGTTGCTCACTAGCTTTGAAATGATAACAGCATTGCAACCCCGTTAAACTCAATGTAGTACTGATTGTGGTAGCATCATCATCTAAGAATAAATAATAAGTTTTAGTAAATGAGCTTCTTGATTTATACTGATTCTAATTTAGTTTGTGAAAAGAAATTTGTTTTTATTATTTACATATATATCTTCCTAAGACATTAAACACTGTTATATGCCCATTTGGAATTTGTGGACTACGCTGGTGAATGATTTCAGCACCCACTGATGTTTTGTTATTCAAAGCATATAAATACTGAGATATATAAATTCCCGTATAATTGAATAAATCAGGATTGACTAAGCACAAGGTAGCTGTATATCTGTCTGCTTTATATTCAGCTGTTGTTTGAACTCCATTCGTTTTGAACTCTTGAAACTATTGTGAACAACACTACATAAATATATACATTTTTAAACTGGATTATAATTTATTTAATTACCTGAGTGTTAAGTTTGATTTTGACATTATCCCAGGGTTGTACATTAACATTTGTAGAAATATTTCCACGGGGATCAATATCGCCAATCAAAAGAGGACTGAAATCTCCAGGCCCAACCTGATTGGTACCTACAAATGTAGATCCAAATTTGTAGTTAGATGTTTGACTGGTTGCTCCTATGAGTAGACTGTGGCTAACGAAAAAATGATTGCTTAGTCCTTTATTAATGACAAGTCGGATGCCCTCAAAGGTCATTGGAAACAGTTCTGCAACGAAAATATAACAATAATTAAATAACTTAAGAGAAAACTACAAAATAAGATGACCTAAAACAAACCTTTGCATTTCTTGTGTAATTCTTCAACAGATCCGGGGTTTTCGATGCGACTTTCGGGAGGCAGTTTTTGCGGTGTCGTGGGTGGCGGAATAGGCGTCATATTAGGCGGCATCGGTGGTAAATTAGATGAAGCTTGTACGTTACCCATAACGTTTTAGTACAGAAGGAATCCAATTTAAAATTGAAACCTACTTCATTCCACGCTGTTTAACAAGTAAGGAAATTCACCGACAGGCGACAGTTGATAACATGATAGTCAAAATCGATCAACCAAGTTCCTTGATATGGTTCATGGAGTAGAAATTCGTAAACCATGGGTGGGAACGTGACATTTCTTATTTTTTAGTTTTATATCTAACGACAGCACTGTAAACTTATTCAAATTTCTTCTAAATTTATTATTTAACAAAATTACTATAATATTAATTATTAATTATTATTTATTTATCCAACATAATTATAAATTATATGTGACATACCGATTAACATATTAAATAATGAGGTATTTTTCATAGTAAAAACTAACAGACTAATGTGGTAGCTGGTATAAATGTGGGCAGGGTTGGACAGTATCTTCGATACAATTGTATCTTGTATCTTGTATCTCAATACAATTATATGAATCATCGAGTATTTCACAAAATAATTTTGTCAAAAAATACTCGATACTAATGCGATACTTTAAAAAATTAATTTTTAGGATTATTTTTACTCGCCTATCTTTGAAATACTATTAACTATAATAAATAAGGAGAAAATTGCAAAAAGCTTATGAAAAAGAAAAATCTAGGAAATTAAAATGTTCACAATTGTGACTGTGACCAAAATAAATGTTCAGAAAAAAAGCTTTTTGTATATTCGTATTCCTTTTTCAAATTATTTGATTAGAACTTTAAAACACAACTTGAGGAAAACCTTAATTTAATTTTCAGGGTTTAGGCGGTTTAGCTATTATGATGTAAATTTATAAGCTTTTAACTATAAAATATTTGTACATTAAATTTAACCTACAGCAGCAAAGGCCAATTGGATTGAAGAATATTATAATACAGTGAAAACTCTTTATAACGAAACTCTTTACAACGAAAAACTCTATATAACGTAAACATTACATAATAATGGTTGATTTGCTATATAACCCATTAGACAATTAATTCTCTATAACGTATTAGTCACTCTCAATAACAAAACAATATTTTATGTTTCATAATACAATTTACGTGTTATCGTATCTATTACATATATAAACTATAAAAATAATCGGCAATAATGCCGAGATTTCCAAGAACGATTACATTCTTTCATTATTTGTAAAAATAATGATGTGTTTGATATATAATATAACATAGGTACATACCTTTATTCAAAAATAATTAAAATTTTGTTTTTTTTAAACCCTCTCTATTACGAAAACTCTCTATAACGAAAGAAATCTCTTGGTCCCTTCAGATTCGTTATAAAGAGTTTTGACTGTATCAAATGTTTTGTTATTTTGACAAAATTTAAGCTTCATACTTATAAAAAAAAATATTGGCCTATAAATTCATCAACCAAAAATTTGTCAAAAATAAAAAAACAAAAAAACAATCAAATATGTATAGGTAGTATAAATTTGTGCATATTGTAATGATTCTATCTCAAAGAGAATTAAATTAAAACAATTAACATATTCCAATGGATGTAACTTTATTTACGCTATTGTCTTATTAATATAATAACAAATAGCATTGATTATAAATATTAAAAATTATAATCAATGCTAATAGACATGAATGTCTCATTGAGTTAAGACTAATGATAGTTTTAGTAATGGAATACAGTATACCATAAAAACATTTATTAAAAAAGTAAGTAATACCATTGACAATAAAAATAATGAAAATGTTTAAACATGATAACATCACATTTTATTATTATTTTTTTGATTGTGAGTCTTCCTCGAGAATTTTTTGTTTTAGGAAAGGTTTGTGAAGAGTATTATATAACTGTGTTGCTTTATGTTGAGCAAACCCAGGACACAATGCCAAAGCTGTTTGAGACGCCTTACAAATATTTTCCAATGAACCAAATGTAGATAGTAACAATGCTGCGTCAGTTTTGTTTACAGCACGAATAGTTGTAAGTGCATTGGCTATCTATTATTTAAAAAAATAGAATTATGATTATAACTTTATTTTAATATAAACAAAAAAATAAAGTTTACTCTGGAATGGTCGTCTGCTTCTGCTTTCTCCATTATAAGATCTGGTGGCTTATTTTCAAATATTTTATAAGTTTCAATGAGTTTGCCAGCTTCTTCGGAAGTCCAAGCTAACATCAATGTAAGTTCAGCTACCAAACACATTCTAGTCAACTGTTTGAGAGCCGTATGTGGATCTTTGACATCAATCTGAAGTAACAGTACTCGTAGTTCATATAATTTCCCCAAGGATTTTACTCTGTTGTATATATAGTCGGGCTTCAGCATATGATAACGTAGGGATAAAAATAGTGCACATGTTGTCCGTCCCATTACATAGTCGGGTAAAATGTCGTCTGAATATTCCCATGGTACATTAACGATAGATTTAAGCAGTGGGTTACCTCTCTATTAATAAATACAAATTAATATTTAAAAGTTCTTAAAATGCATCTACAATAAAATAACTGTATACTTGTTTGTTGTTGACTAATACACCTGAAACAGATGCTGCAGATTTCACAGGGGATTGTTTTGCTCCACTTGTGCTAGGTTGATTAGTAGTGGCTTCTGAAGTATGTTGTCCACCGACAGAATTAATTGATTCATAATGTTCTGATGCTTTAACTCTGCGAAATTCATCTACCACAATAAATACACAAATATTAAAATTATATTTAACATGAAAGTAAAAATTATAAGCATTGTATTTACCAGCAAAAGAACCTGGATTATTCATGTGTACTAAAAAGTGAAATGTCTGTTTAACTAAATTAAACTAGTCTAATAATTTATAGGTACACTTATAAATAAAATAAACCAAAATACTTGTTTCAGTTGTATAAAATGAGGTATAAATCTTAAAACTGTAAAATATTTTGTATTTTAAATTTATTATCAATTATCATAGGTACTTTTAAATAACAGAATTACTTAGGTCTTATAAAAAAGTTATAGTTGTAAGGTAAGTGTTAAGTAATACAGTAACAGAAAATCAATACTTCAATAGTCAATAGTACAGTATTATAGTTATTTTGGTCACTTAACTCACTTTTAAGATATTGGAAACTTGAACATGTAGTTATTATGATTTATGGTCAGCTGTATTTGTTGTTTGTTTATTTTATTGATAAGTGATAAGAACTTTATATGTGATAGTAGATCAACAGACGTGATACTAAGTATTAAGTAATTTGAGTAATAAATAATAATATTATTCGTATTATAGTATTATTTATTATAGTACATCATATTAAATCATAACTGTACTTACTACTTTCATCATTTTTCTTGTTTTTAATTTTAATTTTGTAAATATTTGCTAATTCAGCCCATTTGCCATTTATTGTAAGTAGTAATAAGTATTTTCTAACGCAAATACATACATATTTAAGTTAGTATTTAGGAAATATGATTTATTATTAATAATTTACATATTATTCTTTAATATTGCTACCAAATTTTAAAATACATATTGAAATCAAAATATAATATTTAATTTTTTATTCTACAGTTAATATTAAATTGGTTATTACCACCGAACAAGATGGGTGAACGCAAAGGACAAAATAAATACTACCCGCCAGATTATAATCCAGCAGTAGGAGGATTAAATAAATTTAAAGGTACTCATGCCTTAAGAGAACGAGCTCGAAAACTTCATATGGGCATTTTAATAATACGTTTTGAAATGCCATACAACATATGGTGTGATGGATGCAATAATCACATTGGAATGGGTGTTCGGTATAACAAATATTTTATTAATTGAAACAATATAATTAATTGGTTTGAATATTTAGGTATAATGCTGAAAAGAAGAAAATCGGGATGTATTATTCAACACCAGTTTATCAATTTCGAATGAAATGTCATCTTTGTAATAACCATTTTGAAATTAAAACTGACCCTGGGGTAATTTATAATTTTAGAATATTTTTATTGATTGAAAATGTCTGAATTTTTTTGAAATAAAAAATAGAATTTAGATTATGTCATTGTAAGTGGAGCTCGTCGACAAGAAAATCGATGGGATCCCTTTGAAAATGAACAAATTGTCCCAGAGGACAAAGATACGAGTAAACGATTATTTGATGATGCTATGTTTAAACTTGAACATGGTACTGAGGATATAGACAAGGCTAAAAAAGCAGCTCCGATATTGGTTAAACTTCATGATGCACAAGATGCTAAATGGAATGATGATTTTGCTGCAAATTCATTATTAAGACAACAGTTAAGAGTAAGTTTTGAAACTAAATTACTACATATTTGATTAATATTCATTTAAATATCCAACTGATGTAACATTTCATTACATACATAACCCATTTTAATAAACAAAGAATATTTTGAAACAAAATAATTATGTTATTAATATTATAATATTAATTATTATTATATTATTATTATTAGCCTATGCAAAATAGGTACTGTTGTACAAAAAATAAATACAAATAATGAAATTGTAGCAAATTGATTAACTTTTATTTAGAAAAATTATGTTATTTAATAATGATATTTATTATTCAGACATTATAAGCTTATAATAATAACTAACTTGTTCAATTTTCAGACAAAAAAACAGAAAATAGCTGCGAAAGAAAAACATGACAATGAATTAAAAGAAAGACTATCATTAAGTATTCCATTAGTAGATGAAGTTGAAGAAGATATAAAAATTGCTAAACTATTAAGCTATCAAACTTCTGACAGTAAGCATACATTTATTAATTTTAAAATTAAAATTGTATCAATGTAACTGTACTCATTATAAAAAAAAAAACTGGTTAAATACTACTGTGTTAATTGTTTTTCACTAATAAGTCAATTATCTACTTGTTTGCAAAAACATACATGTGTAGTATTACGAAAACATTTAACACATAATTGATCCAAGAAATGTTTTAATTATATGTACATAAAGCGTCGCTGTAGAGTAGATACCTAGCTGTTTTTCCATGTATATCAAGTCATATCACATAATTACACAAATTATATTGTGCTTATTGTAAATATTAAATTTACAGAATTCAAAATTAAAATAGAGCTTAAAAATATTTAATATGTGTATACTTTTTGTCCTATTTAGGTACAAAAACCAGACGAAAAAAGTTTATTCATGGACTTCGCAAAACTCCTAAGCTAGACCCTAATAAACCTAAAAAGAGCCTTAATGTGGGTATCATTCAATCAACTATTACTTCAAAAAAAGATACATTACCAATTGCTAGTGCTAATAATTGTTCATCACTTGTGTCTGCAGATTATGGATCAACATCTTCATCAGATTAAAATGATATTAAAAATTATAAAACATTTATGATTAATAATTTTCTTTTAATAATTAAATAACTATAACAATTATTGGTAACAATGAAAAATTAGAAAAGTACGTCATGAATAAAGATACAATTTAAATTGTTCAAATTATATTTTTATGTTTATCTTCAATTTTTCTACATGTTTTCTCATATACACCGAAAAATAAAGCTCCGCCAATCATTATCAATACGACTCTTGGAAGGAAACCAGCAAACAATCTGAAACCAAAAATATAATATAATATAATATTAGTAATTATAAGTTATAACTAAATTTGACTCTGTTATGAATCTTTGAAAACTGAGAGCACAAATCTTGGGTGAAGTTAAAAAAAAAAATTAAAATAACAGCGGTATAGTAGTGATTAAGAAAATAATTGTAGTTACAGTTAAAATAAGTAATATTTATTCGTTTTCAACATGAAATGTATTTCAAATATACCAATAATGACATAGAGTTCCCGAACTCCTTAACGCCATACCTTTTAGAGTCCCTTCTCATTCTTCTAGAAATCAATCCCGATTCTATGTAGACATAAGACATAAGACTTTTTTTGACACAACCATACTCTGCATCGTATGCTCAGAGCTGCAAATAATAATTAATCCTTGGGCCACACAACCACTTTTACTTAATTATCATTAAACTATTATATGTATATTTAGCGCTCTGTTTTTCTGTATGATAACTTTCTTATGTACATTAGTCCTATTGTATTCTAAATTTCTAACTACTCACATGTATACTTTTTTACCATATCTGTTGAAATATGTAAAATTGCTGTTTATAAAAACAATAACAATAATAATAATAACATACGCAAACACATTAATATTCAACATACTCAACATGTTCCTGGAATTTCACAGCAAGTCCATTTTCTTAAATATGCCTATACACAGATTGGCAACATTACAAAAAAATATCAATTAATGCTTTTTGGCAAAATTCTGTTTAAAACCAAGCAACATTGTAATATGATTTAATTCCAAAAGTGTATTGAATAAATGGACTGAATAATATGAAATAATAATAACGGACATATTGTGATATTAAATTATGTAACACATCCAACTTTAGTACTCACTTACCAATAAAAACAAACAAACCCTAAATCAACCAGTACTCAATAAATTTTTTTCCTGTGACTCACTCAAACGATGGGATACCGACAAAAAAAATTTAGTGATTCATTTTTTTTTCTACAGAAATAATTTCTCATAATATGTCACTACTAATAATTTGTTCTAGAAAAATGAAATAAATATGTGATCTCTATAAATCTTTAAATAGTATAGAGTGTTGTTAATTCATATTGCCACCGTGTTTCTTTTAATCTGAATACAATATTATAAGTTATTAACTTATAATACACCGAGGAAAAATATATAAATTTATCAAGTACCCAGTGATTCCTTTTTTTTTGTATATGTTCATAAAAACTATTGAGAAATTTTGATCCACGGCACTATTTGCTAACATAATTTGTGTTTTTGTTACGTCAATGGGTGTGGTCAAAGCAGCAGCTATACCTCCTAAAAAAAAGTTATTTTTAAAATAGAATTGTTAACAAATAAATAGAATAAAGTAACTGTCAACAATTAAAAATAATACCTGATATAGAACCACATAAGGCAACTTCCAATGTTGTAAGAGGTTTACCAGTAAAAATTCTATACTCTTTTTTTAAAAATTCCCATATCGGAAGTTGCAACATAGAGAATGGTACATCACGCATAACAGTTGTCCAGAAACCACGATAAAATCCAAAAACTCCCTCGTTAGCATACGCACTTCTTATGATTTTTAATATGGATTCTTGATTTGGTGATGCTTGACGTCTTTGTTTTACTATCTCTATGGGTACTTTGGTTGTACTACAAACCTGTGTAATTAATGGCATCAAAATATACAGTGATTCATCAAGCCAGAGCACTCCATTTTTTTCTTCAATAATGCAGTTATTCTAAATTTGATTTTTGGAATTTTTATATGTACATAGACTTAGTTTTTGAGACTTTTGTACTACTTAAGAAGTATTTTTTGGGAATGAAAACTTCTTTTTTCAAATGAGACCCCCCCCCAACACACACTTTCATACTGAAAATTATTTACCTGATAATTTTTCTAAAAATATTAACATATCAAAATCAAAATTTGAAACAGTATTTTTTGAGTTATTTAACTTTGCGTACTAAGGAATTAAGATCCAAAATAATGCATTAAGAAGATATCGAGGGAATGGTGATCTAAATTTTTTAGTGATTAACAATAATCTATCAACATTAATAGTTTTTAAAATGGTCCAAGTATAGTAAATAATAAATCCAATATAATATCTATTTTACATTTTTGTAAAACCATTTTTAAGGATTACTATCCTTATTGTAAACATTTTAATAGCTGAGAAACTGAATTTCTCAAGCTGATTTTGAATTAGGTATATCAACATTTTCAAAAAATTCACCCACTTAATAATTTACAGTTTAAAATATTATCATTATTATATTATTATTTGAAAAATAAAAGTTTGTATTGCAACAGGACACTCCTTAAGTAATACAAACAAACTCAAGGATTTGAAAAAATTGTCTGAATATCTTTGAAAATTCCAAAAAATCAGAATTTGAATAAATATATTACTAAAAGAAAGAATGAAGATGATCATTATTGAGGAATCACCCTGTATATATCGTACATACAATATTCAATAGTAATACACATAATAAATCATCAAAAATAAGTATACTCCAATGGTAATATTTGATGTAAAACAATACAATATAATTAAAATATAGTATACCACTTCACCAACGATTCCTGCGCATACATGAACTAATGGAGCAGTATTGTTGGATACAGAAGGAAATAAATTTTTAAAACCGTCATAAGCGCCAAAAAACAATCCCGCTAAAAATACACTGGTTTCAATTCTTTTGTATCATAGTAATGACAATAACAAATATTTTACCTGTGAAAGGGGCACCGACAATAGTTGGCGTTAGTCCTTTATAAATACCTCTGAAACCACCAGACTGAATAAAACCATATTGGCTTTGCAATCTAGTTTTCAACGTATCTAGCGGAAATAATGCAATATCAACAACAGCTCCAGCTACAGCACCAGCCTAAAATAAATTAACAGATTTTTACTAATGCATCTTTTATAATAATTACTAATTAAATAATAAGTTTAACCAAAACAATGAATATAAACATAATATAATATAACCTTACACATAAATTTAAAATAGATAAACTGTATGTTTACAATGATTAAGGCAAACAATTTAAAAATTTATATTTTCATTTTGTACCTAAATCAACTTGCTTTTAATGGATTAACAACCTTAAAGCTTGGTAAATATAACAATCATTAAAAACCGAAACTAAAAATTTAATTTAATCATAACTTGTAGTACCTGGGAATGTTCATATTACATAATATAAAATATATTTTTAATACCTAACACAGTTTTTGTTTTAAATACAGGAACAGTTTTGGTTATTATAAATTATTAAATTAAAACACTCTTCAGATAATCATTAAAATAGATTTATGCGAGAAGTATAAGTGCATAAATCTCTTTGAAATCGAGTATTTTTCTTTGATCAAACATAATATATAATAATATACAAGTTTTATAAAAATTGAATTATCTACCTTAACATACAGAACTGTAATATAAAACATAGAGAAAGCAAACTTACTATTAATGAAGTTGAATAATGCCTAGGTCCATTAATTGAAATAGAATTGAAATTGTTACTTGTATCCAATTGGTTTTCATTCATTGTAGTTATATAGCTGAATTTGAATAATTATTTAATATAATCGAATGTGTGTAACATGTGGTCCAATATTGTATACATACAGCACAATTTTAAAGAATGTTCGATTATGTTCTTTATAATCGTGACCTTAGGTCGTGGACTTATAAGTACAGAACCTATCAAGAGTACTGTACTACTGTCTGTCTAAGTATGAGAGCAATTTAAAAAATAAATTCCAGTGATCTAAATGTTATCAATATTATAATTTAGTGTTAACATTATCAAGTATCAACAATGCAAATTATTAAATTCATATAAATAATTCATATTATAATTGTTGCATAATGTTACCATGTTACCATATTATATAACGCAATATAGTCATAAAAGTATGCTTACTAAAATACTTAATATCTATATTTTTATAATTAACCTTAATGACTAAATCGTATTTTATTAATAATGTCTATATTATATTCAAATTAGGTTAGGATTTAGAATATTATAATTTCAGAGCAGAGCGTAGTTTTGTTAACTTTATCAGTTTCTTTTGGGATGTAAAATTATTAGTGTCATGTGTTCTCCATATTTTCTATAGATAGAAAATTGATTATTCTTAGGGGAATCATTTTTAAAATTGTTCTACAACTATCGATAAAAATGTAAAAAATCAGTAAAAACCCGAGTATAGAAAATCAAGTACCTATCTAAACGATCAGTTCGTCCAATTTTTAGTAAACCAATCATTGCGAAGAAATCTGTTGATTTCAAAATTGTAACGACATCCACATTCCGCCGGTATACATTTATAAAAAACGGCTTTGATTTATTTCATGCTGATGTATTTTGTCGTTTCAACGCTATTTAAGTTGTAAGTTATAAGCGTACTCAAAGTAATTCTGTTCGTGCAATTGTTTTATTTTAAATACATACTATATGACAGTGACCAGTGTAAATCAATACAGTTGTAATAAGATGGACAAAATTGTTGACAAAAGTCGCCCAGCAGGCAGCAGCTGATGAGCTTATTATTCCCAATAATAATTAAATAAAAAAGTTTGACAATATTTCTCCAACAACATACAACTGAAGCAATACGAAAGTACCTAAGTAGAGGGGTAGCCGGGTAGGTACTAGGTACTACCTACAATACTGAAACAAAAGAAAGTCGTCAATAACTTTGTCGTGATTCGTGACAAAACCCATAAATATTATTATAATTTATAATATATATTTGAATATTTCCATGGCAACAGACAAACTATTAAGTGGTAAATTTAAATAAAATAAAAAATAATTATAAAATAAATAGTAACATAATATGAAATTCACCGATGTAAGTTCCTATTAACTAACATTAGCCAAATTCCACAACTGACTTCTGTTATAATATACTAATGTACAGTAATAATATCATTTATAGGCTTAAAATTGATGTAAAAGATATTCTGGAGGATCAAAAGTCGAGTAATAGTCTTTTTTTCACGAAAAATTCATAAGCACATCGGCCACCGACATACTTAATACTTATTAGTTAAATTAGTTATTATTAACTAATAACTATTAAGTAACAGTTAGCAACTTAGCCGGCGTTTTCAATATTTTCATTCGCCTTAATCCGTTTATCAATAACTGAGAATTACTATCATTTATCTATGAAATCCACGAGGACTATCCCGCTGTCGTTATCACATAATATCTTTATCTCCCGGACCATGAATATTGATAACATTTGTCATTTACCACCTTAGATCAACAGTACAACAGTCAATAATAAATTTTATAATATGATCTGAGTTCACCCCGGACACTAATGATGTAGTCGATATAGGTAGTATACCATAATAGTAAATAATATAATATATCATGGGTTAGATATACTTATTTAGTTTAAACTTAGTCTCAGTAGGTATAAATTTTAACTTTTAAGGCATAATTTGTTCGGCTGATAAATATGAACTAAGATAATATAATATTTAGATATTCGTTCTAAACATTTAGGGAGTATTCATAGAGATTATTATTTATAAACTCGACATTTACTTATTCGTGTTTTACGAATAGATTTGGCCATAGTTTATTTTACTTTAAATCATAATTTATTATTAAATTGAATCGAATCAGCAATTATTTAAAAATCTGTATAAGAATGTAAATATGTAATATATATAAATATCTATGTGTGAATGTTTCACAACACAGGTTCGCCATCTGACGATTCCGGGCAGATCCACGCATGAGACTTCACGTCTCGCGCTTACCAGTTCCGTCGAATATATATAAGATTTTCAAGAAAGAATTTGGAGTGTATCGGTACGTATCGGGTCAATTTTGAGCGTTCAAGATGTTACACGGGCAATATACAAGCGATACGTACCGACCAGTATAGGACTCGAACTCCGATACGAGGTGGAACGTAACTATTTCGTATCGATACGTATCGAATTTTTCTTCTTGAAAATCTTGATACTGTCCATCGTGCGTTGACCGTCACTTTGTAGAGTGATCGGTGACCAATTCTGTGTATAGCTGGCGATCAGTTCCTACTTGGGCGCTAGATGACGCTGCGGTATAGAAAATATGTAAAAATCCGATATGTGAACAAACGACGAAATTCGAGGACCCGCGTGTGTTATCTCCGTCGTACTAATGCGGGACGTAGCAAAAACTGTTTTTGAGCGGAACAACTTTACTCCCTCTGTATTCACAGAAGAAGAATTACCAAAATTGCATAAAGCATATGGAAGAACTTAAGCGTTTTAATTTTTTTGATGGCACTAACCAATAATTTTCAATAAGTATATGAAAAAAAGAACAAAACAAAACCTTTATGTTCTCAAACTGATGACTGTGATTGTATTTATGTTAGCCAAATAAAATCTAAAAATTGGAATATTGTAATGTTATGCTAATAATTAATCGTTGATGTAGCCAATGCATTTTTTGTAATAAAATTAGGTTATTTCAACCTAAGATAGTATATTATCTGGTGATTTACTTGATTTTTCGTAATTTTGAGTGTTCCGAGTTTCCGACTACCCTTCTACTCCGCATATATTTTACTATTATAATTCAAAACATATGAATAATAAATATAGATATACCTATTAATTATTATAATGTTATTATAATAAATTATAAGCGGTTATAAGTTTATGACTATAAATAGCTAAGCATCTTTGTCTCCTACTTGCTGTTGGCATAATATTCGTAACTATAAAACCTTCGGCGAGTGTTTTATTAAGAATCTTGTTCAAATATGGTAATTGATTGATCTACGTGCTGCACTGCTGCCATAATTACAGTAATTTTAATTACATAACGCATTATTTTGAACTGGAAAATGCAAAAACAGATGCTTTTCATCATGGGCGTAGGTAGGAAATATTTTCGAAGGGGGTTTTTGTCTAAGTCCTAAATAATATGCGAGTTAATAATATTCTCGAACAAATTCACAAAAAGCTCAAGATTGTTTTATTTAATTTCGGGGGGTGTTTGAAAACCCAACCCCCCCCCTTACCTACGCCCATGCTTTTACTTTTTTACAAACAGTTTTTCAGTTATAAATGCTTATGTGTAGATTTTAAAAACCAGTTATTTTCTATAGTTCTACGATGGTGCATCTGGAAGATTTATATTTATTTACTTTTTTTACGGCGTGGTCCACATTATTATGTTTGTGTTTTATTGTGTTAATCGTTTACATGTACTGTTAGTGACAGTAATGTCCACACAACTCACACCCGGCTCTACGATGTTTGCCATGCATTAAAAAAATATAGGTATATATGTATGTATATATATATATATATATATATATATAAATATTATAAATTGAGTTTCAAAACGACGACGTGTTATGTTAAAATATTATAATAATTATATTAACATCTTCTATAAGATTTTTGTACACAAAATCGTTATACGATCTATATGATATTTTGATGTTTTATCATGTACCTAATACCCATATTGATCGAGTTGTGATGAACCCATACATAAATTATACAGTGCAGTGATTGCAAGTGGCGCACGTGGATATTGTATGTAATATTATAATATAGGTAATTACTAATTACCAATACCAATTACTAAGTACTTATAATACTTGTGTTACGTCAATACCTAGCAAAATTTAACAGCCCATTTTTTATGCTAAGAAGATATTACTTTTTCCAAAGAAGTTAGTGAGGAGGAAATATAAGGTTACATCTCAATATTCTCAAATAGAGAATATACAATACGATATACCTCAGCTGTGACCTGTGTTCATAAATCGCAATATTAAGCAATATTTATTTACATGCAAACCTATATTATATCGTTATGTTCTATACTAAATAATGGTAATATCTAGAATTCAAATAATTCAATACACATATTATGTATAGTATAATATTTCATTACGCTGTAATAACCAATAATTTGTGACTGCAGTATACCAAAATCTAGCAAAACATTAACTAGTACACTAATACACTATAATATATGCTGGGACCTATCGATAAAATTATCTTGAAGATATCATAGACAACGAACATTATAGATAAAAATGAATTATATTATCTATCAAAAATTAAAAATAATTTTAAAAAAGTCCATTTGTCGTTTTGTTTTTTAAGAGTGACGTATTTATTTATGATTCTTTTATTTTGGTGCATAATAAATAATTGACCAAGTTTCGAATTTGTAGGCAACAATTTAATCTAATCTCTTTAAATAATATTTATAATCACCTACATGGCTACATCGCTGGATGAATTGCAGGATAAATGATGAATTATCAATTAGGTTCTTTAGAAAAAACCTATTTATGATTACATTAATACGTACATAGTAATTATTAACCAAAGCTGTTTTTTGAAATTGAAAGACGTCATACTTATTAACATTAAATAAACATATTTTTTTGTATAAACATATCATCATAATATTAATTATTATTGAGAAGGTGTCAGCAGTTCAGCACTGTTTGTTTTCTCTCTGTGGCCAACGCGCACAACTAATAAAACGCATTCAAGCATAATCATTATTTTTTATGTTTTTAAGTAATCTTAGAGGAGAACATATTATCCATCACAAAAATTATAAAGAATAATATTTCTGAGTGTATGACATATTAATTTGTCTAAATATTGTCAAAAAACAATTTAATATCAATTTAAATTTCCAATCTTTTTTTATTTTTTAACATATAAAGTCATTTAATAATGAAATATAAAACCGATATATTAAACTCTCAAAAATATCATCTTCTATAATTTTTATGATTGGCGATTTTACTTTAATATCATTCGAAAACCACAAAAAAGATATTACATGAATGCGTTTTATCTCTGTTACTACTGTAGGCTCGAAAAAAATTACAAATATTGCGCGGATATCTTCTTAAAACAAATTTATCAAGTAGATATAATTTGTGTTTCAAAACGAGTATAAAAAAACTTAATTAACTGTTAGAAATTTCCTCATAGACCACCCAAAATATGTAGAAAAGTAAAATGCTCTCACTAATTATTTAATTACATGGTAATTGGTTAGGTTAACCTAACCTGGAAGTTATACAAAGGTTTTTATTTTTTAATTACAATTTAATTGTTGTTCCTATTAGAGCAGGTCGAAAAACAAACCTAACAATGTAATAATATTACATGGATATAATATTAGCATTTAGCGGTAATGTATGATGTAAGTCATTGGTTACTATATACGTATTACGTTTAATAAGTATACTGTATAGTATATACTAACTAAAATTAACATAGATACCTACCTAAAACTTTTAAAAAAATAACAGTTTTGTTGTTAATCATTGTTACTCAAACACGCATTTAAAACGGAGGATGGGCGTTTAGGTTTTGTGAAATATCTTGTACCTATACAAGTTACCTATGTGTTCACATCACCAGAAAATGTTATAGCATATTGCAAATACGTTAAACTCGTTATAGTTACTCAGCGCCAGTATTAAATATTATTTAACTACATTAAAAAAATAATAAAAAAATCTTTCCATGATTATGTCAGTCATTAAAACTAAAAAATTTAAATAATTTTCATCTTGTATTATACATACACGAAAAATTATAGCGACTTGATTTGAGTGAATATTCAATGTTGAAAAAATTTCAACTTCAAACGCTCATAAAAATTTAATTTGACTTTCCGGAAGAAATTTTTTTTTTTGACTAAGGTAGAAAAACTTGTAATGAATTTTGTATTACATTTTTAATCTTAGATATATATAGAAAAATTTCTTTGAATTTCTAACTAAATGTAATTTTCTAATTTTCATGATTTTTACGAATTTTGTCAAAATTCTAAATTTAAACGCTCTTAAAAAAATATTGTGGATTTAAACTCAACTTTTTTTTAATTTTCAATAATAGCGGCTTATAAGGAACCTCGTATTACATTTTCAAGTTTTTTGACGGAGCGGAAAAAAATTTATTCTACTTGAGTTAAAAAAAAAACAAATAATAATCTAAAATTTCATTTGCCCATAAGTAGTTCAACATAATAACATCAACAGTTTAACATCAATATTTTGAAAATTGTATGATGTATAGACAATGCTTACACAGATATTCAGTGAAAATTCCATGTATCTACGGTCATTTTTGTTAAAGTTACACTAAAAACAAAATAGATTTTTTCGAAAAATGGATTTGCTTAAAAATTCCCGTTTTCCTTAATTTTTTTGTTTGTTTTTTCTGTTGCTTTTGAAAACTATTTCAGGTAATTTTTATAATAAGTTAAGCAATCAGCTATATCATGTATAAATTATAAATGTGTTGATGTGTTAAGAAAACAATTAGGTACTTGAGTACTTCAAACTCAAATTTTAACTTTTAAACTAGTTAATAATACCCAGCCTTGTTAATGTCAAGTCACTCGTGTGTTTACACGCACACACACACACACACACACACACACACACACATTTTGTATAATTAATAATTATATTATGATGTTATGGGTCGGTCGGAGTGTAAAATAAAAACATTTATAGCATGTATAATCACTCTCGGGTGTGCGAAAGTGTACCTAGGTACAGTGGCGTACACAATATAATATCGCTTAGGTATAACGATGCATGAGCGTTGACGGTCGAATATCTACTTACACTCTCATAGTTCGTAATAATAAAAATTGTATTATATTATAATTATTGTAATTAAAAGACGAACAAATTTTATAAAATACGTCGTTTTATAGGTATATCTAGGTTTTTATGAACTTATTTGACCTGGAGGGACAATCCAATCTACCTGTACCTGTTGTGGATTGGGTATATAGATCTTAGTATATTTTCAAAGTCGTTCAAACCACTCTCTAAACTTTTGTCAGAATCGGTCAAGTAGTTTTTTTCGAGTCTATTAGGTATATAGATTACAGGCATGAGGGAATTGCCTTCTGTTGTACATTTGAATAACAAACAATACATTTAATATTATTTATTTTATTCGAACAAATTCCTAAAGCAAAACTAATGGGTCGGCTGTCGATACTAATTTAAAAAAATATATTATTTCATTAACTAATGGCAACCCTATACATTATTTGATTTTCGGGAGCCAAAACATAATATATGTATGAGTCTTGGACTCTAGAGAAAACCTACAGCTACTTAATAGGGGTTGAAAAAAAGAAGATAAAAATATACCCTCTTAATACTCTCAAGGAATCTATATTGATAAAACATTAATTGAAATTTGTTTTGCAGTTTCTGAGATTGCCGCATTCAAACATACAAACTCTTCAGCTTTATAAAATTAGTATATTTGTATAGGCTATACCTAATGTCCGATTAAATTTCCAAAGTAATTTGGAGATCAATAAATGAAAAAAGCAGAAAAATATTAAAAACCGGAACGCCCGTCAACACAAAAACGTCAAATAATATTTATTTATAGTTGTCTGAGCCATGCACACATAATAATTTATTATACACAGTATCAACGTTATATCGTCCGGATGGCGGA